ATAATCCTGCAAATAAGTAACTACAATATGTACTTTATTTTGTTCAGTTGGTGATAGTAATTAACAAAACTTGCCTTATCTGAATCTTTATAGTTTTTGAGATACAGAGGGTTTTGTTCGTAAAATAAATTTAAATTTGAAGCCCAGATTAACTACACCAATTCAAATTGTAAACAAAGGTTCTGAGGTTACTTTTTCAAAATATATAACATTGTTTGACAACTACTGTCATGGGTTTCCAAAAATTAAATAATTAAGTGTGTATTTTTTGAAAAGTCTGTTTTTTTTTTTAATGGAAATGCCAAACAGTCTTAACGTTGGCATCACTAGTATATTCATTCATGGTAATTTTAATAAAGGAAGTTGGTAGTTCCGGTTTTTTGAATTAATTTGAAAACAATATCATTAAACGTCAACACAAAAAATCGTCTAAGAAAATTTAGAGACGAAACATCAAGAAAGAAACAAATTCGGTACACTAACAGTTTTTCGAAATTTGGAAACGAACAGTTCGCAAGCAGGAAGTTAGAAAAAGGACCCGTTAAAATGTAGACGCAATTTGTAATGCAGGTTTGCTAAACATTCTTAATTTTTAGCAAAAAATTGACAAGAATAGAAAATAGAAAGAACCTCGGAAAGAACGCAATTAAATTAGTGTCTTGTTCATCGTGTTTTGAGAAACGGGTTGAGAAGTAACAATTTTGAAACTAAAGCTGAAGAAGAATTTATAAAATGCATCAACTTTGAGCTCATTTCATAAATTACACAAAATTTGTTGCCAATCATCATAATACCTACTTGTATCTTTTGCTAAATAACTTTTTGCTGTATAAACATCCTTTTTCTTCAAAGTTTTTGTAGCAAGAATCTCATTTTTGTCCACAACATTGTACTTACTTGCGGTGTGTTTCTGTCAAAATTATTAGCACTGAATTCTGTCTTTAGACCTTAGGTAATGATGTCTGTCCTCAGGTATTCAATTATAGTGCTTTCAAAGAGCAAACAGGCACATAAGATTCTTAAAAGTCAAAATTTTGACAACATCTCAATTTGAACACATAACCATAATTTTTTAACAAAATTTCTAGGGACAAAAACAAAGAGCAAACAAATTTTGTGGCTATGGAGACAAGCTGCTACCAATTTTTTCACCAAAATTTTGACTTGGTAATTTTCATTTAAAAAAAAAAACAGACTTTATCTAGTGTTTTATAAATTTTGTATATTTGGGTGCGTACATTAGGCGCAAGCCTCGTAAAGTTGTGTGAAACACCTTTGTATTTTGTTGATTCACTTAGTCCTGGTTTTGTTTAGCTATAAATCCACTTTCCAATATTTTTATTTTTTCTTGTTATATGTTTAATTTAAAACACACTAAAAGGCTTATGTAATCCTTTACATCATACTTCTTTCTATCTTCAATGATTTCATCCCTATAGACAGTTAAAACTGCTTTAGTGATGCAAACATTTCGTTTGTATCTGTGATGGCGTATTTAAAAAGCTATTTAAACCTAAACCTAAGATAGAGATATGGTGTAGCGGACTTTTTTAAAACAAATTTAGTTCTGTATAACTTTGTCTTTTACACTTTTTCTATCTTTAATCGTATGTGCAGTGTTTTCAAAAAAAAAAATAAAAACATGAGGCAAAGCAAAAATTTCTGTTCTGTTTATTATTTTAAATTATGGTTTTCAGCAAAATGTTCGCTATGTGCACAGCTGAGTGAAATAGAGTAGAAAATTGTCTGAAGAAACTGAAATGCGGATTATTGGAAGACCGCTAAATTCGTTCAGCCTATAGAGTTTGTTAAATTGGCCAATAAGAAAGCTCTCTCTCTCTCTAACTACCATAAATTAAAAAAAAAGTAATTAAAAATTATTTTTAAAACTATTTATTTTAGGTATACCTATGTTAAGTATAACAATATAAGATATTTATTTTAAGAGCGTGTACAGAAATAATCCTGCAAATAAGTAACTACAATATGTACTTTATTTTGTTCAGTTGGTGATAGTAATTAACAAA